CACTTCTGCTATTTTGTACTTTTGTGGCAACGCCACCAATTGCTGGATATACTTACGCACACACACATATACATATATAATTAAATGCACAAATGTATGTGAGCTTCATGACTGCGCTGTTAACACACTACGCCTTGGCCACTTTGATACATATAATATTTGTTGCTTTTGTTTATATATTAATGCTTATACATATATACATATAAGTAAGCGAATGTAAATGTTTTGTAATTTTACCACATATGCGAAGGTAGCGAAAAAAGGTGTGCACACTCCTTGCTGATAAAGCGCGTAATGTTGTTGTTATTGTTGGTGTTATTGTAGTTTTTTTACATTCAATTCGCTATGTACTACTATCACATTAAGCAACTAAGAGCTAAACCTAGGTTTTCTTATAATTTTCTGCATTTGCATATCCTATAGCATAATTAGGTTTATTGTTGTTGTTTCATTTGGTTAGCGCTTTTGCTGTATTAACTGTAGGTCATTGTTTGCTGCTTATCGTCAAACTCTGATCTAGAATCTACGCCCACATAATTGTAACGGCACTTGCGTGCTGACGAGTGAGGTCAAAACCAAAGAGTCAATGAAGAGTGATTTCGAACCTGTGTCATATAAGATGAATAAATAAATGTTTAGTTTATATTTAAATATAGCTCACGCTAAAAATGAGCATACTTAAGCATTAAATTCAATGGAAAGTATGAGAGAACTTCATTTGATTCAAGTCCCCCACATGACGATTTACTGTATGTTGTTGCTGTTCAAAATTCCAGGTTACCTGTAGATGGTGGTCTACGTCAATCAATTGCCTCCATCTCTATCAATGTAGAATTGGGTGAGGCTCAAAATCCAAACTGATAGGGTTCAATAATTTACTGAGGGCGGGCGGTAATTGTTCATATAACATGTTCTGTAGAGCTGTGTTTTCAATATAAGATATGTATAGGTGGCATAATTATATGTTATAAATATTTATGGCAGAAACTGCAAAAGCTCTTTAAACACCCTTGAGAGAATTATTTGTCGCTTTGAATAGATGTCGCTTTTTATCAAAATCAGTTTTTCTCTCAGCAGTTGTATGTAGAATATGGGCTAGAGTAAAAAATAAAGAAATGAAAGCTGACATTTCAGTCAAAGGCTTGTCCAACGATCAAAAAATAATAACCGTTATAATTACTTCCAAAACTACGAAATACATATGGCGCCCTTTAACACAATTACACAATTATTTATATTGGAAAATTAGATGCCACAGGAGACATTCCGTATCAACTGCCCAAAGGCTGGGCGTTCGTGGTGCTTCTGTTCCATCATTTTATCATGCTCTACGTGTGCTCTACACTCTGACGATTTTACTTTTCCAAGTTACTGATGCTGAGACATTAATTATCTAAAAGTAGAACCTTGTTGATTTGGATATCTATCTAATATCCATCCCAACAAATCTTCAAAAATCAAAAAAGAAAAAGTATTTCAAATCGAATATTAAGTGGGGCAAATGTTAGTATGAAAATTGTGCATTTAAATTCATATAAAAAAATGTATATTTTTGAGTTCTAACAATGCTAATTGAAACAGTTGCGTTTTGATGCAGCTATTTTCAACATTTTAATAAATAGCAGGTTATAAATTTCGTTAAAATAATTCAATCATTCTGTTACTATTAGCATATAACTCGTAACTACATAAATTACTTGTATTATTTATTACTAAAAACTAAATATTTTAAACAAAACTATGTTTTTTTTTTGACAATTTTATAAACAAAATTGTCTCTGTATAATCGACAACAATATAAATTAATTAAAAACTTAAACTAAAAATACATTTTATTAACCTTTCAAAAATAATAGAGTTGAAATGATTTCCTGTGAAACCAGTTATTTATCGCTTTTAATTGATTGACTGCTGCCGATATACGATATAACCGCTCGATTTACAATTCTCATACACTTATTATATCATAGGAATATGCATGTTGCGAGACGGCATCTAAGGTCGTATTAGTTTTCCGTCAATATTCTATGTTCATGTAAATTTTCGCAATAAAAAATTGCGAACACATTTTCTACAATATTTTGCTAGAGCATTTTAGTCAGTTTATGTGTTTTAAAGTGATCTGTCAATGGCATTAGTTGTTCACAGTTTGGCAAGTTCGTTGCTGAAGTCTTTTGTTCTGGTGTCAGTATAATTTGGTAACTTGAACCGTTTGTCAACAATCAAGTTGAATTAAAGCCGTACACTTGGGTGTTGTCTAGCATAGGTTAATTTTAGCAAGCATACATATACATGTGTGTTTGTGTGTGTAGGCAAATTAGCTGGAAAAATTACTGCATTAATAAAATGTGTTCGACGTCAATTACTCAAGGTTAGGCGCAGTTGATTGCGAGTAGCGTGTTCCTTAGCTACACAGTCGATGTATTCGCTCAGTTTTATATAATACCTGTATGCATGAGTAGAACAATTGATTCGGCGTCAATAAATATGCCGGAAATGCAGAGCGAATTTTTGTGAAGAATGCAATATATTGGAAAATATTTAATTTCATGGTGATACACAATATGCAGAGAAGGAAAATTGTAATTGAAACTCTATAGATATATAGTTATGTGCCTAATATAAAGCTTATAGTGAAGAATTAATAAAATTTCTTTATGCAGTTTTTAAATTAATATTAAAATATAAATTTTAGAACTGAAGATGAGTAAAATTTTTTTTTGACCTCTAGAACATTTTTCCTCCCTAAAATTTAAAAATTTCCGATAAATTTCATAAATAAAATAAATACTTTCCTTCAGTAGTTGAGCCTAATAAAATAGTTTTGTTGATCATTCATATTAAAATTAGTAAAAATCGAGTAATCTCTACAAGTTATTAGAGTTGTCTGCAATTACTCAAAGAAAAATCTTTACAATGTTTAGTTGCACTCTTCAAAATCCCATGTTGTTCCCATTAAAGTAACGCCCCAATATAAAAATGAATTAATATTATTATACCAATTATAAATTATTCAAGCGCTTAAGAAAAAAAATGCCCTTGGTATTATTCTAAGCAAAAATTATTAAACTCAAAATCAGGCACACCTTAAAATAAATAAACTCAAAGAATTAAATAAAAGAACTAATAAATAAAATTTTTCTACTATTAGAAATGTAAATATATTTATGCAATAAAGTAATAATTTTATTATTCAGAATAACTGGTATAACAATTTTTGCAATAATGTTAGTTAATACTCAAAGTTATTCTCAGCATTTTTCTGCCTTCTTCTTATCCAATTGCTATCAAAAAGAACATTTAAATTACCTGAATGATTTGAATGATTTTTCTCCCCTCTATTGGAATTCAAGTGTCGGCTGAAGTATGTAACTTCAGAAGAAATGTAGTTGGGAAAGTGTGTGTAATAAGTAAACAAGTAGTTTTTCCATAAATATTTCAGTCTAATATAAGGACATCATGTAAAAAGCAATACTCGGTTATTTTCACCAAACATAAAGGGCAGCCCTGGTAGTTATTACCGATATTATTTCAGAGCATGTACGTATAACATTTTATCTCTCTTTTTCCCCAAAAGTAAAACTAAAACACACCTTTTGTGATATCGTTTAATTATTTTTCAGTACACTTAACAATTCATTTCGAAATGATAGGTTTTGAGAAATGCTAAATTGGTTTTCAATTATTATAAAGCTGAAAACTACGTTTGTCTGTTTCTAGTAAATCAGAATATAAAAATCTTATAAATCAGGAAGCCAAATTCTTCCAGTTTTTTCTAATGGGTTTGCTTCTTTACGAAAATGAAAAAATGTTGTTGTTATTGCAATATTATTTCACCCTGTTTGTATGAAGGAATTTAAATGTTGTCATCAACGACATCTAAGTGGCGCTCCAAGAAACATGCTATTTCGATTTGTTTAGACGATAAGGAGAGCGGTGTTAGTTTAAGTGAGCATATTAAGCGATGATTTGCATTATTTGGGATCTCATTGCATTTAGTATAAACATTGCATGTAGTATAAACATATGCATTGCAAATTCACGATCTCCGATGGCTAATGTAAGGGCTTTTCGCGCGAAAAATCATCTTCTCAGAAGGGACTCACTTTGGGCTTAATGGCTTCATCATCAATTTTGACCAAATTTGAGCTGATTATTTTATTACTTAAACAACACATCGTTCATGTTGGTAGACCCTATAGTGCCAGTAGTGTCGCTATTATAATTGAAGAGGAAATTTTTGAACAAATTAAGTGTTACATACATATTACTCAAGCTTTTGAGGTAATTGCAAAAAAAAAAAGATATTTTTGAAAATGAAAATTACTTATCAATTGAATTATTGTTTCAAATTAAAATTTAATTTTATTATTTCCTGGCCCTTTTACCGTCCTTTTCCGTACTACTATCCTCTAGCATTAAACCGTAGCCATAGCAATGGTTAAAATTTTACAATACAAAATTTTTAAATAATTAATTTGAAGTTATTGTTTATATTTTTGAAACAGACAGTCTGTGTGAAAGTAAAATATTATTCACTCCCATTCCATTTAAAACACTTTTATAAATGAGACACGTTTCTTACTTATTGACCACAATTTATTTCGATCATATATTTGTTAGCAGTCTCGCCTTGTAATCGTTTCGCATATGAATAGCTTGCGTTCCACACTTGTCACACTTGTAGTACGCAAGTTAATGGTAATGGGTAATGGGAGCTCAATTACATACTTGTTGACTAAGAAATATGAATGTGCGGTGCCGTTGCAACAAGTGTTATAGCCATCTAATTATCATAAACATATGCTTAAAATGAATTTCTCACAAGATCGGTGCTAAAAGAGTATGACTCGACTGACACCAAAACGCCAGCAATACTCAGCAAAAATGCCGTAATTCTGTTGAAATATAAACATTGTAAAAATGCAAGAAAACAAATGACATACCATAACACTAAAGTGATGCCAATTAATTTTTAATTTCTTTACTTAAATTCACAGATGTTGGCGCGAGCACCGACGATCGACACACGGCCCGCCAGCGCAGCACCAACAGTCGATCTTATTGCGGGGAATGAGTTTCTCAAGTTGCTTTTCGAACGTGATGAATCACAGCGCGAATTGCATAGCGGCGAGCACGATGCAAGCGAACGCGTGGTGCGCGGACTGGAAGCGCGTAGCGGCAGCAGCAGCAGCGGCAGCACAGGGGCTGCTGGCGAAAGGCGAGTGACGCGCGCCGATCATTACCAGTCGACAGGCGCTGCAACTACGCAGTCAAGTGATTTGGGTAATAGAGGCGCGGCGGCGCGTAGCCTTAGTTATAAGAGTCGTAATGTGCAGAACGAAGCGACAGCGACAACGACGGCGAAAACAACGCACGCTGAAGAGGGCAAACAAGTGGTGAAGTTGGTGACATCAGGCAGTAAAATTGTGTTCCTCGAAGAGTACGACGACAATGACGCCATTGTGGATGCAGTGGCGCGTGACATTGATCTAAAAAAAGAAAATACTGAAACACATAGTAAACTTACTTCAAAGTCAATCGCGACGGAACAAGTGCACATGCATGAAAAATCAAATCCTAGCGATGAAGTCAAGGTAGTGGCGGTGAGCGTGTCATCATCGAGCAAACGTGGTGGCCAAAGTCGCACAACAAACAATCAATATCACATAGCTGACACAGATATGTCAAAACAGAGCAATAAATATTCCGAGACACGTGCATCAATGCCACACACAGATATAATGCGACAGCCGTACAAGCAAGCACCACATGACAACAGCGCTGACAAAAGCCACAGCGTTGACAACATGTCCACCATGACGGCAACACTAACAACAACAGCGCCAACTGCGACAATGACTGCATCAGCTACCTCAACGATGGACGACTTTGTGAATCGTTCACACAAAAGTGAATTCTCAATTGAGGAAGCCGAACCGTTGACAATGTCGCCACAAAAGTTGCGCGGCGCACCGCAACCAGCACGCGCTAATAGTCCGCGCTCACTGCACACGCCACATGCCGTGAGTGGACGTGCCGTTAAAATGGCTGCCAACTTGGATGTGGTCGACTCGGAGAATAGTGCCTCAACCAATATACAAAACGTGTTGGCAGCGCCACTAACGCAGTCCGCTTCCACACGCACCGCACCAGCTGCATATCAGAATGGCAGCAACAAACGTAACGGCACGTCCGCACCCATAAATCACAGCATTGCAAATGCAGCGCGTTCACATGTCAACACGCAAATTAGTGGTGATGATGACATGAGCGATACCGTTATGCGCGACACGTCCGCAGCGGTGGCCCGTGATGATGCCGCCAACGCTGATATGGATGAAAAATTGTTGCCCTTCCAAACGGTGATCTATCACAATACCAAGGAAGGACACGGCCCACAGTCCCGCTCCATATCGTATAGTTCGTTGTCACAGAATGTGGAAGATTTACATGCGTGGCGGCATACGGGCATTTTGGCCGAAGCACAGCGCAATGTTAGCGAGAGCTTGAAGCCCATACATAGTGCACAATTGGCGCATAACTCAGAACCAGCGAAATTTTATTCGGTGCCATCGAAAATGTACAGCGAGCCGTCGAAATTTTACTCCGAACCAGCTAAGGTATATTCCGAACCGTCTAAAGTTTACGGTGAGCCCGAGAAGTTTTATTCCGAACCCGCTAAAGTATATGGCCAACCCTCCAAGTTTTACTCTGAACCAGCAAAAGTATATTCACAGCCTGCTAAAGTCTATGGTGAACCGGCGAAAACTTATTGGTCACCAAGTGCTGCCGGTGCTGCTGTAACCACTTCAACGTCTACGTCCAGCTCTACAAGCAGCTCAACTACAATCTCAACTACGACTACACGCCCTGGGCGTTACATGCCCTCACGCCGACCCGCCATTGTGTCACGCATCGCTTTCGGTGAGGCACAAACCTCAACAGCAGCACCACCACAGCTTTTAGATGAACATCCACCAGTCACAATCTCGTCAATTCCCACTAACCAGCATCAACAGCAACAACACACGCATCACACACGTTTCCATTCGCATACTCATAGCCATAGTCAAAGTCACGGTGCGCATAGTTCGCATGGTGCACATGATTCACATAGTTCGGTGCATACTCACTTGCATACTCCAGCCAACAGCCAGTCACACGCTGAAGCAGCCACGCAACCTGCCCAATCGCTATCACAATCACAGTCACATTCCGCGCAATCGCAACCACGTCGGGTACTCTTCAACTTGGATAAATTGCCATATGATTTATTGAATGCGCCGCAATCACCGCAACATCTCTTGGATCCCGACTTCTCGCACAGTCCACCGGCGGCTGTTACCTACTCATCGCCCCGACAACGACAATGCTTGGAGTCCGCCTTCTCGGCGTCGTTGTCTCAATCAGCCTTGCAACAGCAACAGCAGCAGCAACGTCAATATTCGTCATTGTCGGACCAACATTCTAATCAAAATGCCAAAGGATTGCCTAATCGAGGTGAGTTAAGTACGAGTAGTTAGTTGCCGACAAAGTGGTAACGAATGATTTTGCTTTATGTTAGGCGTTTTTTTATGTCAATATGTACGACTACGTTGGTCGTAGAGAGCGTTTGGCTGGGTTGTTTATTGTTGTAGTTAATGATCTATTGAAAATTCAGTTTTAATGTTTTTAGAGCTTTTGGTCTCCTTATTGTCGTTAAGTGTGTGACTGTAATGAGGATTATTATATTATTATTGACAAATGGGTGACATATAAGAAGTTAACGATTTGAAGAAAAAAAATCTTGCTTCATTTAAACTAAGCACGCGATAAAATTTGTCGCCACGGTTCCCGGCTTAAGCGAATCTATTAGAGATAGCGGCGACTTTTCCACCATTCCTGTAAAGGAGAAGAGATGAGCCTTATGCGTGGTCTTACTTAATTTTATTGTAGTTGTGCATGTTCATTTGATTTATATGGGTTGTTGGTTCGATTCGTAACTCAAATTCACGAATCTAAAAAAGCTGGAAAAGGTTTTGGACTTGCCATCTTGCCATTACATCGTATAAAACATTTTCCTAGATATTTATGGTCAATTGGTTTAACCATTGTTCATTTACTATTGCGAAATTTGGCTTTCCGGATTTTTAATGGTTCCTAATAACGTTGAGTTCGGTTGCACCGAAGCTATAATACAATTCGCAAATAAAAGAGTTTTCTTACAAGAACTTGATTTATATTGGTCAGTATGCATGGAAGCTATATGCTATAGAGGTCCGATCTGAACGATTTTCTCTAAGAGTATACCTTTGGATTGGATTGGATTGAAAAAAGGAGCTTAATATTATTTCCACTTTAAGTCCAGGTGACAGGAATGTGCAGTTTAACAGCAGGGCCAAACCCATAAACTTCTGTAGAAATATTCGCAGTAATAGCAGCTGAAGGCCTCAGCTTTTAGATTATAAGTATAGTTATAGATGGGTCAGATAAGAAGTTTTCTAGTTTTCCCAAATCCTTATGTAGTTGCTTACCCTTTAAAGTGCACTGAAGAATAAATGAAGGTTGGAGGGTTTTTCGTGGTACTATAATTTTGTGAGCAGAGCTTTTGGATATTCCCCAGAGTAGATTGGACACCTGGATATTCAAAGCTTTGGGATGCACATAATATTTTTTGACATATTTATAGCTGATTATAATTCCACGCTTATAATTTACTGTAATTGTATCAATTTTACCAAGTATAAATGTTTCTTTTCTTCTTCTTCTTTCATTGCATTACTAAAATCTGCAGATCTAGTCAAGTGTGTTTCCAAATACAACCAACCATTAGCCACATCAACGGCCACAACAGAAAGCAACCACAATGGCGATGACGACAATAACGACAACGACGACGGCGGCTTGTACACGCCGACCCCAGAGCAAAATTACGAAATTGAAGAGTCCGTAAGTGTTATGACAAACGGACGAGCCCACGGTATACAAGGCAATGCGGCGATGACTACAACGGCCAGACCGTTTGCAATGCGCACCACGAAATTCCCCAATCGCGGTGCGATACACCATCAACAACAGCACCAACAACAACATCATTATCATGGCAACGCCAACACAAATGCCAATATAGACAACAACTATGATGATAATGTGGCGAATATAGGTGGTTTGGATGACGATGGCATTGCTGGGGATGGCAGTAAAACCGGCGGCGGCGACGACGACGACGATGCCAAGGTGGCGTATGTGGTCGAGGGACGTAACTATCGCAAATATCGCGTGGAAGAGAAGACCGATGACGGTTTCATTGTTGGCGAGTACGGTGTGGTTGACCATAATGATGGTAATTTACGTGGCGTACGTTACACCGCCGATTCGACCATCAATCGCAGTCTGATACAAAAGGCGTTGTTGACATTTCTTAAGCTCAAGTAGTCAAATGGACAGCGAAAGGTGATGTTGGTGGCACAGCGCTGTCATGGCGTACGGCAAATGGTGGTAAAGGTACATACTCACTTATATGGTGGTTGGTGATGCGTAAAACGTATAGCGGTGGGCGGCAATGTGCGGTGCGTGTGCGCAGGCGCCGAAATCAGCGCATGAGTCTGCAAGCACATCTCTCTCTCGGTAGGTTAAGGGTAGTGAGTTGCTGACACGCGGGTTGTGTGGTCATCAAAATATTATATATACTGAGCGTCACGCGTTGCCGAAGCGGCATCGGTTTGCGTGCCCAAAAGTTAGAGTGTATGCTGACAGTTAAACGTCAAAGCCGACGCCGACGCTATGAAAGCTATGTGCGCCTATTCGCAAACAGCGTGTCGTTAAGCGCAAAGTATTTCTTGTCTATTCCTTGTGAGTTATTCACAATTTTATTTTGTTTTTTATTTTTTACAATTTTATTTTCGTATTTTGTACTTTTGTTTAAGACGCATTAGACAAGCTGAAAAATATGTGATCCAAGTCGTACTGTAGGTAGTTTAACTAGGAAGGAATACACTAATACATATAAACTTATAAAGAATCTTTAGAGTATACAACTAGCATACTTAGACACAAATACACACTTACAAATACATATACATTTATAAGCGTATACTTAGCGTTAATTTTTTTATAGCTTATAAAATGTCAATACTGCGCATTGATTGCAATCGTTTGTGAATTTAATTTATTATAGTTTTTTGTATATTTTATTTTTTTTTAATATTTATTTTATTTTTTTATACACACAGCACTTACCAGCGTACATATGTGTGTATGTATGCATGTGTAGTTGTTAGAGTTTAGTCTTCGTTTTAGTTAACTCATGTTTAGTGATTTATTGCAGATGAAAACCACTTGCCATAAATTTCCGTAGCAAAACCAAACAAAACACAAAAACAAACAAAAAAATAACAAAGACAAAAATTCAAAAAAAAAACTATTCGTATTTGTAATTTAGTAAAAGTGTTTTATTCTTAAATATATATGTATATATATATTATTTAAAATATACAACTGCTTAGTATAAGCTACACAAGTTTGTTTGTTTGACTTAGTTCAAACTCATAAGTAATTGCAACAAGTCGATATTTTTCTACACGGACCATCAGTGTCCACAATTAAAGCTAATAACTATTTATATGTAGCAGTAATTGTTCGATTTAGCATTCATTTAAGCGGTAGACAATTGTTAACATTAAACGAGATTATTTAGTGACAAAATCTTTACTTGTAAGATTTATCAGATGATCGTGTTTTCTTAGAAAAACATGGAAACTTGAATCGAACAAATTTATTTAGACAAAAATTGAAAGGCAAATAATATGAACATATGTCAGCGGTAAATAAATTTTACATAAATACATATCAGTTGTAAATAAAAATTTTAGTTAATTGCACTGTTGCAAATTTTTTAATACAAAAAAATTTTTTTTAAAATAATTAACGATGCTATGATTAAAAATTAAAGTTTCATTTTGCACTCCAAGATATCTGGGATTAAAAATTTAAAATATTATTTTTTGATTAGAATGAACGTGATAAAATGTTAATTCGAAAACAAATTCTTTTATTAATTCTTAACATATAATTGAGATTGAAATTTTTAATTTTTATTTTCAATCCGGTAGTTGGGATTAAAAAAAGATTTTTAATTTTTAATCTGGTTTTTGGAATTAAAATTTTTTTTAATCCGATTATTGGGTTTTAAAATTTTTTTGTAAATTCCATATTTGGATTTACAAAATAAAAAAAATTTTAATTCAATTATGTTTTTAATGCATTATGCAAGTTTTAATGCAACCAGGGTTGCAGATTATATGAAATCGTTACGCTTTCATTTACAATAAAAACTAATCGTAAAAAGGTTATATAAGTACTAGACATATATTAGCGACACAGCGTATGAATATTCTTGGTATGAGTAGATAATAATTTAGAACTGTTTAGTAGATTACACGATGTCAATGCCGTCGATACGTTATCATAACAATGACCGATATTATTTTGCCATTATCGTAGCTACCTTAATGAATAAAATGCAAATTTAAATACAAGCATTCCCATTCAGTCTACTGCTGTGATCAAAAAAAAAGGTGAATTTGTTTATAAAATATAAATTCTTTATTTAATCTTCTAAATCAATTTCATCCCCATCAAAGCAATTTGTCAGTCCTCGAAACAGTCGGAATAGTATTTTTCTGATAGAGCTTTCGAGACCTTCTTCAATTAGGTTCTTATATCCACAATCGTGTTAAAGCGGTGCCTTTTGGGTTTGCTGAATTGCCAGAAGTCGCACCGAGCCAAGTCACGAGAATACGTTAGTTGCGGAACGATCTGAGTCGAAAACCGAGTATGACATGGTTAATTTTCGTGATAAGGGATCCCATAATTTCGGCCGTTTCAGACGAATATCACGTTTGCATTGGTCTTTTCAGTCTTGCTTCACCAATGGCACGATATTTACTCTGATCATTCCTGATAGTCAGACAGCAAAGATGCACACACATCAACGCGACGCCTTTTTTCCAAAAAATGGCACCAATTGAGACTTGACAGACCTAGCTTTAAATAAAAATTTCACCTTACTTTCTGATAACAGTACAACATGAAGAATCTATAGAAACCCTCATCTCTCGAATAACATTCATGAACACACAGCAAAAGCTCGGCGAAACATTTATCAAGGGTATACCCAAAAAAATCAAATATTTCATCGTTAATTCAAGTGTCCTCTCTTAAGGTTCAGTAGTAGTAATAAAGAATATTATTATTGCAATTTTTTCCACCAATTCAGCACGATTACTAGCTTCCGGACGACCTGGTCTTTGGATGTCATTTAAATTTAAACTACCATTTTTAAATCGTGTAGAGCAACGTATAAACTTGAGTTCGACTCATCAATTCGTATGTTCCAGAGAATTGTTATTTAGGCTTAATACAAAATTTTATATTTGCTCTTTGTAAAAATGAAACAATCGCTTGACAAATGATGAATGTATATTTTTAAAGTTGCAAATTTTCAATAGATAACGTCGCATAAATATAAAGTTCGGTTATTTTTTGGATACACCTAATACCTGATGACCATCATCAGGAACTTTATTTGCCAATATACTTATTATGGATCTTTGCAGATTTCCAAATAGTTATTTGAAGCAATAATCAGAAAAAGGTTGTAATGTATTGAGATAATTGCGGAATTCGATAGTTTTGAGATATATTTAGATATATGAGATAGCTTGTCTGTGTGAGTCTTGCTTCGATCAAGAGACTTCATTGAGTTAATACATTAATGCAGCAGATAATTAATATTATATGTCTTTTTATCGTATATCAATTATGGCAACTCGGCTTGAATTATCCTTAAACAGCTTCGGCGATCATATCAAAGTATAGAATTTTGTTCTAGGGCATAATATATGTGTATTAAATTTGCAGGCTTTATACAATATAAATTAAATTAATGGACATTATTCGTAAAAATGAAGGCGTATTAGAAAATAATTATAAAAATTAAATTGATATTAAACAATACTTGTTAATGCAGCAGAAAATTAAGTGTCGAAGTTAGTATAACTAAATATGTAAATATAATTAAATATAAAATACAATTTAATAGTTGAATAAATAAAGCAAAACATTCGAGCATTTATTGCCAGCCGCAATATTTCCTATAAAAGGTATGAAATGCTACCTTGAATAGTTCCTTTTCAAATAAACGAAGAAAAACTCAAATATTTACAGCAAATAAAAATCGAACGAACTTGTTGTTAAGAGCCAAAACGAAATGCTCAAATCTATAACTTATTTATTTTTACTAATTCTATTTAAATAAGTAATTTAGTTAACATAAAGTTGGAAATATTTCAGCGAAATACTACTATAAAACTTATTCCGCTAAAAAACATATCACAATATGAACTATTTAAATATCTAAGCAATTTATTGCGAAATTAGTCTAAATGTCCGAGCGATATTATGTAAATATTGTTGTATATACTTAAAATATAATAATTTACCATCATTTGTGTCTTAATAAATGAAGTCAATAATGAGTTGAAATATTATTATTAATTTCAAAATAAAACAAAGAACGAACGAAAACAAACCACTTGGTTTTATTGCATTATCTTTTAGATATTTCTTTTCATTTTAGTGCTTTTGTAAGAGCGACGGATGTAAGTGATCTACTTAATTGGTATTTATTGTTGATTTGGGTAGGTATACCTATATACAGTGCGCGACGTTTGTTCTACTGCTTATGACTAGGTTGAAATATTCAAGGTTATTGTGGCTTTAATTTCAAGTTTATAACTCGATTTTGGATTTATCTTATTTATGGTATTCACTCCGATAGTTTTATGTCGGCTCGGAAAAGATAAAACTATCTGAAGAGGAGCCTCGAAAAATATAGCTTAGCTACCGAAGAATGGTTGTGGGTTTTAAATGGCTTGATGTATAGACTCAGGCTTGTCCTGGATGGTTCCTATGTCAAGGAGACTTTGTTTTTCTCCATCGACTGTACTGTTGAGTATTTGGACGTCTACTTAAAAATTGTTGGAGCGGTTATCGATTATCTCGTGGAAGTTTTACGAGAACGGCTCAGAACAACATTGTCAAGTACCACCATCATAGCATTTCATGCTAAATTTTCCATTAGTCTTGGCATAAATTATTTTACACCGTTTACAATGCATGCAGTGAGGAAAAATTGACAGAAAAAAGAGGCGTTGTCTTTAATTATAATTTATATGCAGTATGTACTCATATATAATATAATAATCAGTTTGGTGTTGATTTCGCTTCCTGACAGGGGAAGCTAAAGAAAATCGTATTACGGTGATTGCTTTACATAAGTGTGGAAAAATAGCAAGTTAAATTTATGAGCTTTTCCAAAATATATTTCGTGAAAGTTCTTTAAGGTTCTTCTTATTTTTTGGTAATAGGGAAAAGTCACACGGGGCCATGTCTGGCGAATTGGCGAGTTTTTGGATAAGAATTCACGAACTGGCAACGAAGTGTGAGCAGGTGCATTAAAGAAAATCGCTAAGGTTATAAAATTACGTCTAACCGTAGTGGCTGCTACAGACAAAGCAATGATTTTATGGTACTTCAGGGACATGTATGTATATACATATAATAAAAAAAGTTTGACAGTTGGACACTCTGAAGGAGCGAAATTTTACATTTTAAAACTCCCGTTATTTCTGAACACACCTCGTACACTTTACCCACGAGTGAGGTTACACAAATGACACACACAGTGCCTTTTTCGACTTTTTTTTATCAAAAATTGTTATGCATTTTAAATTTGCTTAGTATCATTTGGTTTTAGAAGTTCAAGTATCGAGCGGTAGACTTAACACCACTAACTAACCGTGTTCTCTTTATAAAAGCACGCCTCCCCCTATATACCTATACACCTATATACCAGTATCATGTACTATGTAGCATGTACTCGTTAAATGAATGCTGTAAGTACGCTCTTTACCGTCATCTATTTTGTAATAAGAAATAAATTGTTTTCATTGAAAGCCGATCGTCTAAATGATCATATCAAAAAGTTCCAAGTGAAGGTTTAATTTACGACTCTTTGTGGTGTTTTTTTGCTGAGCTTTGTTGCTGTTTTACTTGTCGCTTATTGGCAACATTTAATTTGCAAATAATGAATTATGTGTATTGGCTAAGCTTGCGTTATGCTAATTTGCTGTTTACTCATAGCTGGGTGTTTAATTAAAATGCTGTGTACATAGCGTTTGCAGACTGTTTTAAGTTGGCACATAACAATTGGAAAATTGTGCAGTTAATAAAGCTGTGAAATGAAAATAATTGTTATTGGGTTTTACTAAATGAATTTGTGTATTGCAAATATAATGACTTGCTTACTGTTTTTAATTAAAGAGGGAAAATTATAATTGATTTTGTTGTAGTGAGCGACGTCAGTTGTGATTACATGTAACTATTGGGACATTCATCATTTTTCTGGTGATAATTTCTTATATTCTTGAATAATATTCTGAGGGCTGTAGCTATCTCATATTCGTGCAGTTTTTTTTAACATTCATTTGAGAAAAACATGTAACTACAATGGTATTACTCAAAGTATTGCTCATAGGAAGCTTTGACATTTTCATATCTGTCAATTTCTTAGAATGCCATCCCAAAAGAACTGTGTTATCTTGGCGACCAAGAACGAAAACAGCGAGTTTTTAATACCATGTACTGATGAGACTTGTATTCGAGTGAGTGCCCAGTACATTGATCAGAACAAATGGTAGTCGGAAGGGGCAAGGTCTGGGCTACAAGGCGGATGAGCCAAAACTTCCCAGCCACTGTTTTCCAAATAGTTTTTACTTAGTCTTGCAACATACGGTCGGACATTGATATGAAAATTATTGCTGGAATGACTCCCAAAGATTCATTGAGTAATTCTTCCAATTAATCGTCTTTAAATCTGTTTGGCGGCTCAGAACGTACTTTGTCCTCCAAGCCAAAACCACCACTTTTGGCATGTTCGCTCAGTTAGAGCATGTTCACCATGAACTTTTACCAAAATATGATGACTTTCAGCTGAGGGTTTCTTCATATTAAAGTAATGAAGAAGAATTTCACGCAAAATATATCACACAATATACCCAACATAAAATTATGACAAGAAGCGGTACGAAAAACAGTTTTGGACTGATAAATGATTTTGGTTTTATAATGAAATCTTGCTTCGAAATTATATTATATATATATTCTATAATTGTTCACATGCAAATGGCAGACATGGCGGGAGACAGTAAATGTAGAAGTTTATAAGTGCAAGTACAAAAAAGTCATATCTGATCCTCAATGTTCCATACCATAACTTAAAATGATTTGAAGAGCAACTAAACACATTGTCATCAAATAGTGAGTTTAACCGCCTACAGCAGATCGGAATCATCCAATCTTAAATATTTCCTTCTCTGCCTTAAATTATAACTCCGAAATTTTGGGAGCTTTTTTACAATTAAGAACGGACTTTCAATATTATCCAGCTCATTCAGGTTGTAGTACGTTCGATAAGTTTAAGAAATTAAGCTATGAACACATCGACGACCCCATTAGATTGAGACCTAGCGACTATTGTCTCGTTCACAGGCACAGAAAGTAGCTCGCTGAAAACGAAAACGAACTTCTATTTTAAAGATCTTGCAGCTAAAACTAAAGTTTTTTTTGTAGATATGTGGAAACTAAATTGCATGTAATTTAATGATATGCCCAAGAATTTGACTTTATTAAAAAGATTGTCATTATATTTAAAAACTGATTTCGGGCAAGTGACCGCCGTGGCTGGCTCGAATAAATTCCCATATTTTCTTTCAAAATACAAAAACCATTATTTCGTTGTCAGAACAAATAGTTTTTATTTTCAGCTCATTTAATATTACTTCTCCAATGTTAGGCTCTTACAGCATATCATTCAGCGCCACTATACACAGCAGTGGATATTTTGCTGCAATTTGGGGTATGCCTCGAATCCGATAGCAGGTTAGTGTCACGGAAGCGCTGGTCATTACATTATATTTATTCGATTATATGAAAAGCCATACTCGTATATGGGCAATATTGTCTAGGCCGATCTTAAAGAGATTAGAGCAAGCACATCATAGTTGAGCTGATTTCTTTATAGTTAGGGATTTCTTCTAAGTCCAGCAACGCCACTAGTATGTGTGTCTACCGCATTAATTTACTATCGCTATAACGAAAAATATTTAAAAAATAGCTGTAAAGACCACTTTTTAGTAATTGGCGTAATCTTTTGTATCATTAATTTAAATTGTACATGCACATAACTCTTATAAAATCCATAAAAATCCCTTTGGAATTTGTATCACATGTTAAGTGGAATAAGTGTCTACGCGCTCCGATGCACGTACAGATATTCCACCTTCCCACATATATCCTGCGGCAACAAGTGTTCACTAGTCTATAATTAGAATAACTAATTTATATTACTCACAAGTGATTAATAACACCCTTTAATACATTAACAGGAAAAACGGCATGTTAACATGTGGCAGGGCAACAAAATATACATACACACCTATATAAATTCATACGAGTATGCAAGTGCTTTAATGCGAATATGCAAGTGCGCATGCGAACGGCAATAATTAACACGATTCGATTATATCTAAGAAGTTTCGCACTTCGCTGAGAATGCGGAAACACGCACACACCTCAACTGGACGCCGTCAATCAGCTGGGCAACACTTGATCCTCCGTTGCGAGTGCAGCGGCTTGCGGTCGCGGGTGCGCGCACATTTATGTGATTACTTACGAGTACATACATACATACATACATGCATATGCGGCTTGTTAATCGTCGTCAGCACCGCATTATTTCCTATACTAAATAACTGAAGGATGCAACAATCGTAAATACCGCAAGTCAACATCGCCATTCGGTTGGGTGACAAATGCCAGCGCTAGTGCATTGTCACCGCTCGCTGTGCGCCCATCGCCTGCCACGCGGTGATATGTGGTTTGGCCTGTTGGACAGTTGTTGTAATTTAAGTGGCGCGTTTAGAGTTTCGCCAGCGATACTGCATCAAAGCGTCACAACGTCACCGAGTCATAAAAGTTGTTTCCATTCGTGGGCAATAAAATTTAATCTACGCACGAAGGATTACTTACACCGCACTCCAGCGCCTGTGTAGGGTACATATATATAATATATACAAGTATATAGGTATATGTATAGAAAGACTGAGGGCATCCTGCGCTTATTGCAATCGCTTTGAGATTTTTGCGCTGCCATTATCGCTGCACTGATCTGCTTATACTGTTACATTTATTACATATATATAAATATATAATACTTGGTATGATCAACAGATCGATCAACATTACTGGCTGCCGGCTCTTAACGCTGCATCTGCAACATTTTCAGCCAATTAAGACAACGGTGCACAAAGCTGGTGTTAAAAGCGTTGCTATTATTGTTTCTCTTACTGATACTGAAACAGTTACGGCCGCCATAGCGGTATTGCTGTTCGACCCTAACAAATCTCGCATATTCTGTATGCCGCTCCAAAGCAGAATGCTTTATTGTTATTCTTATTGTGATGGCAGGAG